CATGTTGATGTAGAAGAGACATGAAGAAGAGGGGACACATGTTGATGTAGAAGAGACATGAAGAAGAGGGGACACATGTTGATGTAGAAGAGACATGAAGAAGTGGATTTTGTAGGTGACCTTTAACTTGTATCAGTTTTTACCAAATGTCTATCCAGCCTTTGTTCACCTTATTATTATTATTATTATGATTGTTTACAGTGTGTTGATGTTTTGTGTCGTTCACCTGCTCCCTCTCCTGCTCCTGCTCCTCCTGCTCCATGCTCTGCTCGATCTCACACAGCAGGCTGGAGGAGGGGGGCAGCAGGCTCTGCTCCTCCGTCAGCTGCTGCAGCCGGACGCTCAGCTGCCGGTGAGACAGCTGGGCCTCCTGCAGCTCTGCGTGGCTCTGACGCAGCTAAACACAATCAAAACAGCCAATGAGAAAACAGGATCAAACAAAACGAGGCACACAAACATATTTTCATAAAATATAATTAAAGCCAATATTGCAATAAAATGTCCTGACTGAGATCCTCAGAACATGTTGTGTTACTGTGTTTCCTTTTGCTCTCTCTCCTTTACTAACAGAAAGAAAGAAAGTGGTGTGTGTGTATCTCTAAAGTCACCTTCTTTTGTCTTGTATTACACCATCTACGCCTCTCAGACACACATTGCTCTCATCCCACACACACACACACACACACACACACACACACACACACACACACACACACACACACACACACGTACACAATATTACACACAACCACACACACACACAGGGCTTAAAAGGATCACACGATGCTCAAGATGCATTCCTTGTTTGCTTTTGTCTCAGGGGACCGTCGAGACAAATGCCACAGTGAATCTGAGCCTTTTAAGTGTGTTAAAAAAAAGCGGTACCCCATAACACTAGCTGAATGTGTATATGTGTCTTGTGCTATATAAATACAACTTGACTTCACATTGTTGAATATTTCATTCAGTCAAATGCGACAGTTTATTATCTCTTCACATCTTTTCCAGTATGAAAATAACAATATTGAAAATAAATAAGAATGTGAACTTCATTGTAATTCTGTTTTTACCACTTAATGTACCACATCACTATGAAGACGTCATTACATATATTCGGATGCTTTTTACCGTGTCACCAACATCCACTGCTGCTCATTTCTGGCATTTTAAATGTTCTTTTTGGTAAAATTCACAAACATCATAGGCATTGTAACTCCACTTCTTACTTAAAACACAACACCGTTAAAAAGTGTGTAATCTCCTGCCACCAAAGCTTGATTGTCTCCAGTTATGTCTGAGAGGACTGCTCTATGTGTTTGAACCTTCATGTTTTTAGAAAGTTCTCTTTATAAACAGCTGTGATTTTGTGTGAAAGGTTTGCTCTGTAGATAGAGAACTGTAGAGGATTGAACCAGATAGACAATTGAAAGTGCAGAAGAATCCCTCTGGGCATTAGTTCAATAAGAACTGGAATAAACAGGAAATATGCTTAACACATGTCAATTACTTGAGTGATTTTGCCTGTTATTCCTGTGCATTTCGGCCTTTCGTGTGTCATTTGTTGGCGAAGCCTTTTTAGAGGCAACTTCTTTACGAGTAAAGTGACACAAAGAGCATGAAAGTCTGCATAGAGAGGATGGACGGGTCGAACTGCAGGACTTTCTCAGGAGACAGTTCTTATGCAAATCCCCAACTCAATCAGAGTTAATACCGTTGACTACTTACCTATGCATAACTTCATTTAAGTACAAACATTTTGACACAAACCATGATTTTTTTTCTAAACCTGAACAATTAGTTTGGTTGCCTCAGCATAACCATGTAGTTTTCTTTGAATTAACAGCATTAATGTGTTTCAAACTGGTGATATGAGATGAGCTGGGACTGGGGCTTTACATGACATGCTAAAAGCTTAAAATGCGTGAAATGACACCAAAATGCCCTTTGAAGCAGCGTGATAATTAAACACCTTCCCGTGAGATAGCTTTGGACAACAAATTATTCCCCCATCATGCCACACTGTCGGGAAATTGATTAAAATATAAGTTTGAAAATGTTAATTCTTCTTCTTTGACCAAAAACGATTTGAAATGTCAGTAACACATTTGGCATCCACATTATACTGTTATTAAAATAGACATTATGTAAAGAAAATACGACAGCTTAATTAAAAACATTTCATCCGTAGTGTAATTTGGCGTTATATTACCCCCATATACTGTACATCCAATTACTCATGATGCATTATGCAGCTTCACTACTCAGCTGATCAACACTAGAAAAAGACACATCACAGCAGCATGTGAGTTCCTGTTACCTTAAACATTTTTGACATTTCATCAGAACCAGAGCTCACAATTCTATTGGGTATTAGTGCCATTGTAGGTAAACATGTTTTATTATGGAGCCTTGAGATGGGGGTATCATGAGAATTGCGATAATACAGAAGAAGACAACACAAAAACGTCAATATAAAAGAAATCCCTTAAAGAAAGATGTGTACAATTTTGGGCTATGAAATTAAAATATAAACAACTTAGCTTAACTATTTTCTTGGAAACTGAATGTAATATTCAGGGTAAAAAGTCAGATTTTTCCTAATTTAAATTCTTATTGTTTTTGAAAATCTTCATTCCCAGAGAATTTAACAGAAATGTTACATTGTTTTATTTTAGCATTACCCCAATCCAATATTATTCAATTATAAAAATGAACAATGGTCCTAATATGCCATGCACTTAACTTGAAAAGGAAAACAAAAAGATGATGTTCAAATACAATTTGACACAAACAGCATTTGATAAAAATGCACAGGTGCTAGGCATACTGGTATAGTAGGAATGTGGACTGTGACTTGCTGATCACATGGATGAATGTGCCCATATGATTCACAGTGTGTGGTTTGTGTTTTTTTGGTTTATATTTGTGTCTTTAACCCCCTGTTTATATTATATTTATATATGTACAATCAATCGGTAAACAGAGATACTGTGTAGCTTGTTCCCATCATGCTTCAAGTCAACCCAACCCAACACCACGGAACGTCATTTGATGAGATACAAGAATACAAGAATGAACTTCTTCCTGGTAAACTAAGCTGTATATCACTGGTTTGCTGGTAGAGAGGAAACAATAATAAGTCTCTTTATTCAGCTGAAGAGTTTTGTTCCAAAATATCATTCGAAGTCCATTCTTGATCTTATAGGAAATAATAAAAAAACAGTGACATTTTTACTGTTACAGAATTACTGTTGTATTGATGTAGGTTAAGTTAATGTTGAACTTAGTTTATTATCATTATTGAACCATAAAACCTTTAAATATAATAAATAAAATACTTGCCGATACATTTTCTAACAATCAAGTATTTATTTGTACTTAATATATAAATATAAAATATATTATAAACTGCTTAACATAACATCATACTTAAAAGACTCTTCATAATCTCATAAAAAAAGTACCTGAAATTCAGTACTTGAGTAATTGTCAAGAATCCACCATGATTTTTGTACATCAGAGTAAGACAGGCTAACTATTCCCCCTGCTTCCAGTCTTTATGCTAAGCTAGGCTAATTACTTCCTGCCTCTGATTTTTCTTCATTGTCAATGTATTATTTTAGAACAAAGCTCTTCAGGTATAAAATGATGGAATGCGTTCAACGTCCTGGAACAATTATAAAAGTAGCATAATTGCACTGAACAGAGGATTGAAGCACAACACCAAATCAACAAACACCATGACCAGACAATTGTTTGTGACAACAGAATAAAAAATAAAGAAAATAAATTCATTTGAATAACTTTAAGTCCAGTGTCCGCAGGCCTGGAATCCAGTTCAGTGCAGTCCAAGCGGCCAAAGCTCTGAGTTTTCACAGATAGCGAAACAAATAAATAAAAGTATGCAAGCAGGAATACAACAGAGACTTTCTATGGCAGGCAAACATTAACGAATATGGAGTGCACACCCTGATTCAAAGTCACCCAGCTTGGTCACGTGCATCACTTGATCCACTAACCTCTTGTTTTTCTAAAGTCTGCAGTGTCCTTTTTCTCCGTCCTCATCCATTTTCACGTCTGTGTAATGTCCCTCCGGAGGTTTAGGAGACTGATGCAGTCCCTCTCTGTGGCCCTGCCCCAGCTCACAAAGTGGTTCAGTGTATTCCAGTGATGTGGCAGAAAAGGATGACGACAGCTCAAAAAACTGTATCCAGGTCGGCGCCGGCCTTCTGTCTCATAGCGACGAGGACTGCTTAATGCTGTGAAAGCTGACCCGTGAAGGGGAGGTGGGGATGGACATGGCCTGGGTCATCCGGGCCCGGATGGAGTGCTGCTCCTGCCACCGGTGGAACCGCTTTCTCACAGCCGACCGCACCTGGTGACAACAAAACAGGAAGAATCATAAAAGGTCAGCTGATGGTCTTTGTGTTACCTATGCATTTTGGGGCTTTCATTTTCCTGTAGTGTGTTATATAGGTTCTAGTGCAGGGGTTTCAAACTCAAATACACAGTGGGCCAAAATACTGAGACTGCCAAGGCACACNACCTATGCATTTTGGGGCTTTCATTTTCCTGTAGTGTGTTATATAGGTTCTAGTGCAGGGGTTTCAAACTCAAATACACAGTGGGCCAAAATAAAAAAATCGGTACTAGTCGAGGGCCGGACTAGTTCAATGTATATTACAAAACATATTGAAATGAACGTATTGCACATATTAAACCTGGAACTAACAAAGCTTAAAGTGGACCTATCATGCTATATTTGAATAATATATTGTAGGGCCATACCTATATAAAACATGTCTGCGAAGTTTTGTTTTCAAAATACCAAACAGATCATGCATTTAAGCCATGCCTCATTTTGCTCTAATTGCTCTTTTTTAGCCCTGTTTTTGCAAGAGCTGAATCTGTGAGAAGTCTTCTTCGCTGCTTTTGTGGCAGACTACAGCGCCACCTACAGGCCTGGCATATGTACAGCGTCTCCAGCGCTTTCGAACAAATCTGTATCAGATCTGTCGCAGCCCCGTTTTTAGAGATTTGGGTATGGAGGAAAAGAGAGAGGGTTGTGTTTTCTGACACTTAGTGAGTTCCCCGACACATATTCATGTAAAAAGACGTACAAAAGTGTATTTTGCATGATAGGTCCCCTTTAAATTATTGCCTATAAAAACATCATTAAACATTAAATAATCAGTTTTAAATAATAGTTTAAGCCAGATACTTGGCATCTCATCTTGGATGCAAGTTCATCAATGTTTGGGCTCAGGCTCTGAGCTGAGCAAATCCTCAGGATTGAGTGAAGGTGTGCGTGCAATCACGCACACCTTCACTCAATCCTGAGGATTTGCTCAGCTCAGAGCCTGAGCCCAAACATTGATGAACTTGCATCCAAGATGAGATGCCAAGTATCTNTTTGCATTTGGTAAGTGTTTATGTAGTTTTGAGGGCAGTTAATCATTTAGCAGGAGAAATTAGGTGTTTTGCACTTTGGGTGTGTGGTTTTGTGAATTGTGTTTAGTGTTCTGAGAAACTGAGCAAATAAAAAAAAATGTGTGTTAGCAAAGCAATCGAGAAAAACTGTAAACAAAATACTAAAAGTAGATGAACTACATTATTCAAAAATGTCCAGTAACTTCTGATAATAACACAGGGGAAATAAACGAGGCATCTCTTTTCCTCTCTCTCTCTCTCTCTCTCTCTCTGCTGACATCCCATCAGTATCAGGGTTAGTCAAAATGAATCGCTTGGGGGTTCTAGTGTTCATTTACCGTTTTGTCTTCTCTTTGCAATGCTTAATCGATTTGAAACCAAGTCTAATGTAGCTTAAACTTAACGTTAGCTTTCTAGCTAACACAACACATTCACGCACCTTTCTCTGTGGTTGTTTTTGTAGTGACGAATGAAGTTGGATGTTGTGGTGGTTGTGTCACTGATCTTTATACTGCAGACCCTGCATACCGCTTTTCTCTTGTTATTACCGTCATCGACAACATAATGCTTGAATCCAAACTTCACTATTTTTGGAGTAACGCTAGCCGCTGCCATGTTAACTGAGACTTCTGCCTTCTAGTGGGTTGCCAGGTTTGCGCGCATGGCGCTATAATCACCCAATCACGTCTTGAAAAAAACTAAACGTAATATCTCACTACAAAAACAAACGCAAATGTTTAATTTTAAAAAGTCAAGTCCTTTCAAGTCATCTGTCTCAAGCTTAAGTCAAGTCTCAAGTCATGAATACCAAGTCAAAGTCAAGTCAAGTCTTTTATCAATGTTAGTCAAGCAAGTCTCAAGTCCAAAAATATGCGACTCGAGTCTGACTCGAGTCAAGTCATGTGACTCGAGACCCTTGATCCTGATACAGCACAACCCAACCTCATGATGATGGAAAACAAGTCAACTGTGGTTATCCGAAGAAGAATCTCCCAGACAATCCAGAGAGGTTTGATTATAGTGACTCTGTGTTACCAAAGCAGAGTTTCTCTTCACGAAGTAGGGGTGCACCGAATGGGAAATTCTTGGCCGAAACCGATACCGAAAATAGGAAACAGTTGGCCGAAAACCGAATGCCGAAAGGCCGAAAATGATTAATAGAAATATATATAATGTATACATTTTTTACCAATGTTGTTCAGCTGCCTGATTATGGAAAAATACATGATTATGGCAAAACTTAACTTAAATAATAATCACTATTATGGGTCCATAAAACATTTATTCAGCACTTNTTAAATGTTTTAATTATGTTGTTTTTGTTTGTAGAAGTGCATCATTCCTTGATTTATTGTAAAATGAATCTGAACTTTTTTATCTGTTATGATGATAAACTGAAGCTATTTCTAAATGAACCCAATTAAGTGAGTTTTAAATTGTCCTACTTAGTTTATAAGGAAATGATGAAGAGGAACAAGTTAAATGATTTGAAAATGATATCTATGTAGGCGCTGACGCTGTTGGCGGTTCTAGTGTTAACAGACATTTAAATTAAATATGTGTAATGGCAAATGCCATATAGGATTTTCTTACCTTGAGTTCTGCCTTTTTGAACAGACTTTTTGAGTCCTAGCTATATTGTCTGCAGTTCTAGGGTTAATATGAATCTAATATGATTGTCATCGGTCTAAATTAGATTTCAAATGATTAACTGTGTATGTAATGAAGATCATAGTGTGGGTTTAATCCATTTTCATAACCAATGTCTTTTAACTGATTTAAATGCAGAAACTGGGCCTATTCATCAGAATGTCGTATGACTTGACTTGACTTGCTTGACCTGAGCAATGACTTGACTTGACTTGCTTGACTCTCACCACAGTGACTTGGGACTTGCTTGATATTTGTAGGTCAAGACTTGAGACTTGCTCATGACTTGCACATGTATGACTTACTCCCACTTCTGCTCTTTACCGATGATTAGCGCTTTCACTTTATTGTGCTTCAAAAGGAACCAATAAAAGCTCCTGTTGAAAGGATCCTTCATCGACAGAAGTGAAACAGCTGATAGTAAACATGCACTAGACCCACCTGCCCTCCCCCCCCCAGGCTGAGCCACGTTAGCGCTTAAGAATTAATAAAGATTTATTTTACACTAAATCTACTTACATTGGGAAAAAGACAGCGGATATTTATTTTTGGAACTAAATAAACTACCCACCACAAACACTTGTATTGCCCTTATTTAAATCATTAGGGTTTCAACGTTGTATAATGCGCTAAAAGCTGAATCCAGAGTTATTTTGCAACTCGGAAAGAGTTTAAGGGAAAGCTAAACTGTGCATGCTCTATGCACCATGTACGGGTACTTTGTGACGTTTTGCTCTCGAGAGTGTCAGGCCATTTTGGCTTGTGCCACTGAGCATGGGCAGTGACGTTTTTATATGTACAAAAGTGGTGGGGCACGAACAACTTAGATGTTTATATATAAGCTTCTGGTGCTTTTTTAAACACTTAAACAAAGTGTATATATATATTTATTATTTATAAAACGGACAAGTCAAATCAAGCAATCTGATTGGTTCTTAGCCGTGATATACTGAGCGTATACCACGGGTAGAATTGTAAGTTACTTTTCACAACAAGTCAGTATCCCTCCGCGTCTGAGAAAAACAGTATACCGTTGGGCTGAAAAGCAAACTGCCTGCAGCTTTGCGTCGGGCCGAACCACGCCCCTTAGCTGTGATATAATGAGCATATACCACGGCCTGTCGTGAGCTATTGCTTAAATATTCTATTCTGCACTATTTCTACTGTATTCTATTTTACTTACTTGCACTATTGTATCTGTTTTATTGTGTTGCACTGTTGGAGGAGCCTGTGACCTAAGATTTTCATTGTCATAACTACACTGTACTGTAGCAATGTACAAATGATAATAAAAGCCTTGAATATTGAATATTTAAAAATATTTTTATATATGCTAATGTGTCTGCCTGTAGGACTTTCCGACAGGAAACATCTGGGGCACCTTGAAACTAAAACAGCCACAAGACTAGCAACAAACTCAAAATCTCACTGAGCACACTTTTGTTTTTGAATGGATTTAAAGGGATTTCCTTGCTGTAACTATATCATGGCAAAACCCACCTTTCTATTTGAACAGAGCTATCCCGTTTCCTCTGCTTCCAGTCTTTATGCTAGGCTAAGCTAACCACCTGTTCACTTTAGCTTCATAATTAGCATTTCCTCCCTGGCATGTCATCTAATTCTCAACATTTTACAGAATGTGTCCCTACCTTTTAATGTGTCAGGCTATTACTTCCCATAGTCCTTGTCCTTACCTTGTGTTTCTGGTGTCTCCCACCCCTCGTCACCACCCCTCACCCTTAAAGCAATGAAGCGCCTCACCTACGACATGTGGTTCTGCGAGGCCGCGTTCTGCTGCTGCTGCTGCATGAGGATCTGCTGCTGCTGGCGTCGCCGGGCTGTACGGAGCTTCTCAAAGCGGGCCTCCATCTCCTCCAGCACTTTGGGGGTGTAGCGGACCACCAGCTTCACACTGTCCTTGGCCGCCTTCAGCAACTCCACCGCTTTCTCGTGGTGCTCGCCCTCCACACTCTACAGGGGGTTTACAGAAGTGGGGATTTGAGAGGCAGACAATTTCAATAGTCTTGGAAATAGTAGTCTGACAAAACATTTCCTCAATTTGTACCTCCTTGCAAACTCAAGCTTAGGGTACAAGCTGTTTTATTCAAGTTTTTCTAGCAGGTTTTTGCTCAACATTGGAAGCACTTTGATCTCAAAAGCTCTTAACCTGCATATAGAACTGGAAATGAATCATTGCAACATTTTGCAAGAAGTTTCAAAAAATTATTTTAGTTTAGGATGTATCTTTTCGGCAGCTAGCTTACAGTACCAGTTGGACACACCTTCTCATTCAATGTTTTGTGTTTATTTTAATTTGTTTCTACTTTGTAGATTAATACTGAAGACATCAAAACTATGAAAGAACATATGGAATTATCTAGTAAACAAAAAAGTGTTAAAAAATCCAGAATATGATTTTTATTTAATATTCTTCAAAGTTTCACAGCTTTGCACACTCTTGGCTTCTCTCAGTCACCTTTATGAGTATGTAGAAACTAATCAAAATAAATAAAAACCTTTGAATGAGAAGGTGTGTCCAAACTTCTGACTGGTACTGTAAATTATAAAAAAAAACAGGAACGCCTATTGGCACTCTCCCTCAAATCAATACATTGAGCCTCTCTTCCCATCAGAGCTTTCACCTACCACTCCATTGACGGAGAGGAGCTGATCCCCTCGCTTTAGCCCGCCGTGCCTCTCAGCCACTCCTCCGGGGATGATCCTAGAGATGTAGATGGGTGAGTTCTGCTCTTTGCCACCCATCACGTTGAAGCCCAGCCCTTCCTCCGTCTTCGGTAGCTCCACCACCCGCGGGTGGGAATGACCTTCACTGGCTGCGAAGGCTGCGACTGTTGCCTGAAGGAAGAGAAGCAAGATGGGACTTCTTGTTACTGCCAATTATCCAAAAACCAAGAAAAATACCTATATAAATATATATATTTATTTGGAGACATCATACAGTGTAATCTCTCTGTCATTTCATTAGTAGAGCTTGTTGGGAAGTAAAGAAAAAAGAAAATGAACATCCTAATGGTGTCTTTATTACACTCAGAATGCGTACTAAGGAGGACACTTATTCAAAACTACCAGAAATTGATGGTGAAGGTGGGTTTGTGAACCTCTGCTGCACCTTCTGAGGAAGGCTATAACAAAGCATTAGGATTTATTCAGGGCTGGGGGTTTAGTCTCCACATGAGAAGCTTTCTGGCTTTCTAAGCGCACGGATTAACACATCCAAGTTCACAATGGAGGAGCTGCCAGACGACTTTCCCCCTCTGTCTCCCCACCAGCTGGTGGGTGTCGGTCGCCGGCTGAGGGGATTCTTTGAACCCTGAGCTCCATGCTCCTCGTTTGCTCTGAGCAAAGCAGCCAGGAGCTTGTTAACCGAGTCTGGGAAAGCTAATGGCAGATGAACAGAGAAGAAGACGCCCCCTGCCCACTGATCCAGATGCATTGCCACAGGGGCCTAGCTGTCAAGTCGGCATGATCTATGATTTGTGAGGTAGATCAAAAAAAGGAGGTTAAAAAAGTGAAAGGGATTCAGCAGCAGGCACGTGTCTTTAAGGTCTTTGACGTTCCCTTCAGGCAGCACTTCCACTTCTTCCATATTCAAATCCACATTAATTTGTGCTCCAACTGTTTTGCCCATTTCTTTCTCCTCTCCCGCTTCCAGTTTTAATCTGCTTGTTGTACTCCACAAACTTCCTCTCTCCCTCCATTTTCTCTGTCTGTCCTTCTTCTTCTCTTCCTCTGCATCGCACTGTGAAGCTAAAAGGAAGCTCCTCAACATGAATACCGCCACTTCGAAAAAAACAATCTCGCAGACGGCCGGCGCCTCTCAAACTCAGACAGCATTTCAAATTAAAGGCTTGCTAGCTGAGACGTTCTTGCCAAAGCTGTAAAGACACTTGGTTATCGGCTCTCATCGTTTTCTCTGAAGCCCCGATAGACCCTGTCTGCATTAAGATCAGTAATAAGGGCATTGAGCCAGGAAATAGAGGCCAAATTGATTCAATTAATCAAGCAATCAAAGAGAACCGAGTTGTTCAGGTGAAACAAAAATCAAAACTTTCAGGAGATGTATCGTCTCTAACTAAACTCCAGAAAGAGGAGCAGAAGTGTCAGCATATTTCACACATTTCATCATTATTGCAGCGACACTTTGTTGTTTCAGTACCATTGCTACCATCTTTTTTTTTTATCATTTCAGACTATATGTTTGATACTGATTGACTGCAATTGGCACTCTAACCTTCCTAATCAATTACTCTCTCTCACAAGAAAGTAAAACACATTTCAAATGCTCTACATATTGAGTGTCTGCACAGCTAAGCCAGCTCAGCTCATTAGCTGTGTGTTTTAATGCCTGGTTGATATGATACTTTAATACAGATTTAAGAGCAGGAACTCAGAGTTTGGGGCAAAGAAGAGGAAAGTAGGAGGGAGTTTTAAAGCCGCTTAAATCCTGACTTCATGATTGCTTCCGGCTCAGAGAATGCAGACAGAAAGTTTTTTGTTTTTCTCTGCATAACCACCATATTTTCTTTGTAGGATGAAATAACTTCACACATTTAAAAAGAGGTTACTACTTGATTTCTTACATCAAGACAATAATCTTTTGTATTACAAGATTTCAGATTTTTTCATAGGCTACGCAAATTGGGGCATTATCTTATTTAATAAGATTTGCTTACAGTTAAAGAAAAGAAAAAAGCCAAGTTCAATGTTTCTTTTTGTTTTCACAGAGGAAAGGTTCTCCTTATATCACTCTATAAATCATTAAATACTGTGAACAGTCATAAATATATATATTTGTTTCCATGATGCCAAGATATAAATCAGGCTATAAATAATAAATGTAAAAACCTTCAGAGTATAGTTAGAGGAATAAAACTGGAACGTGTATGTAAGTGCTGCTACATTTCTGGAGTATGAGAACAAAATATATTTTGAAGAAAACTGCCTTTAAAGACACAGTATGTATTGCACAATTCCAAACACTATATGAAAAGGGGGAAAAAGTGAACTGACGTACAGATATACCTATCAAACAATTCCAGATAAATTCACTTACATAGAGGCGAAACGTTTTTCTATTGCTAGTTTTATTAAATGTAATTTGCAAAATGAGGCACTATAATGCTCACTTTTGGTGAATTAACTAAAAATCTCAAGACGCAAACACATATTTGCTCATGGATGTTTTTTTTCCACTTGGCTGAAAGAAGACATGTATGGAAGCAGAGTAGAGCCCAAACCGTTAAAAAGGACCCGTGCATAAAAAACTGTTTTCACCTGTAGAGCCTCTCCTCACATCTCACATTCTGATTAAAGTTTGAAAAGTTCTCAAGAAAATCAAAGTGTGATCCCCAATACATTGAAACTCAAACCACGTGTTGATTGTGAGTTACCATACCTTGCATGATCATACTTGAGGCAGAGAGTTGGAGTAGGCAACAAAAGAGAATAAAGCCCTCATCATATCCTCCACCCTCCCACTCACTCAGTACTGTGATGTGGCGAAGAGGAGTGGACACAGCTGGACGTTGAACAACTGAAGGACGGAGAGGCACTCTCATCTATTCTGCTCTCCACATCTCATCCTCAACAGCGTCCACGTGAAATCAGAAAAGCCATGCCGCTTTGTTTCCTCTCTTAAAAGGCCTGTGTCTCTCTCAGGCAAGGTGCAGACAAATGCTGCTCAAGTGTCTCTTTTGTGTACCAGATGTTGCTTATTCCATTCACACTGCAACAGGAAATGTCTCTGTTCTGATTTTGTCCTTCCCCTGTGACACAGCTGTAATGTTTTCTAAGCAGCAGACAACGAAAAACCTGTACGCCTGAAATATTAAATAGTTGAGCGGAAGAAGAAAATACATGAAAAAACAAGGAGCCTATTAAATTGTGAACATCTTGTAATTTAAATTGATGAGCAGATACGATCTAAAAAGACCTCATAGAAGCAGTGAATTGTGATTGAATATCACTACATGCCAAGTGAATTTAGACAGATTAGACTGTACACTAAAAACGTTAACTACCAACAAAATAATGAGGCGATTAGTTTGATAAAGTGAGTTTCTATCATTGTATTAGTTTAGTGCTTTTTTATCCAGGTTGTGTAACAGGATTTCAAGTGACGTCAATGTTTCTACCAAAAAAACTGTGCCTAACGCAGAATAAAGATCTGATAATCAGATAAATCAGGGTCCATATTGTCTGGAATTAAAGAAATATTCACAGCTCAAATCAAAGACTTTTCGTCTCTGAAGACAGTTGAAAGAAGGATGAAGAGCTTGAAATCCTAGTTGATTCATATCGAAAGAGAAATGTTCAAGAAGTTGAATTCCAAGCACATCCTGTAATATGTCTCCCTTTTGATGCCAGTGTTGATTACAAGTTTGTCTGACATTGGGAAACCCGAAATATTCTCTTCAGAGTGCAGCCTGAATAAAATAATCAATTTAAGTTTGATAGAGAGTGTGTGACCTTGTTTTTACTGTCTATTGTGCATCTGCGTAGTTCATCTCCCGTGTTATTCTGCCTGCCTGATCCTGACCCTCGCTTTGATGATTTTTAGTAAACATAAAGCTTCATCTTCCCTGCCTTTTTGTGACTCTGTGTCTGGGTTCAAGCCTGTCTTTTTTCGGAGCCGCTACTTTAGCAGAACTAGCTGGAGACACACTCGCTGAGTTCCTGAATACAGATATATGCTGAAGTCCAGCTTCATGCTTGCTGGGATCTCCGCCCAATGGCATCAAATCTAAATTGGCAATAAAACTCGTAGCCCTAGTATGCCTCTCAACTAAACGCCTCGTCCTAATGAACTGGAAAGTCAGAAAGCCCAACTGCTTCAATTTAAACAGATGGCTGGAGGACTTTCTGAACCTCTTAAGTATGGACGAAGCTGCCTCCTCCCTGTTATATTTGGTTAAGCCAGATAATATGCTATGGGATACGATAAGGGCATTCCTGGATTCAAAACATCTTGGCCGCTCCGCTTCATAAAAAACAGATAATACAAATGACACAAATGGGCAGTGCTCTGACAACATGAAATGTGGTTATCCTGGTTCGGATAATCTGAACAAGACCAGTTTTTGTAAATCCAATTTCCAGATTTGAACTCATTTTGAACTAACACCCTAAAACGGAAGCTTAGGGTCCTATGTTTCTCCGTTTCAAATCTTCTTATATCACATGAAGGAAATGTTTCAAATAGTTGTATGCTCTCATGAATCTATTTCCCTGGATCAATGTACGTTTGCCTGGATTAATATGTTGAATAAACCCACAGCTTTTAGACTATGTCATGTCATACTCCTGAATATGCCCTTATCACCTTTGATTCATTCAGAGTGATAACAAGTCTAGTTTTTATTGAAATTAGAACTTGGCATTTTAATGTTTTGAATACGCAGTAAAGCATGACATCCCTGCAAACAAACTAAAGCTTAACTCTAGTACTATGTGGTAAATGTTTCTGTGTGCGGTATATCATCAAAAGCAATCTTAGGCAAAGCTTTAGCGCCCCGATACTCCGCCTTTCCAACAACATTGGCACTCTAATGTGTTCTTGCCTAATAATTGCACACACACTCTTAATGATGGCCATTAGCAAAGTTGATATACTTTGCTGATTTCATTCTGCTTTGGCCAGAAGAAAAGATGAGAATGATATCACTGGGCGATGTGATTAACAGATAATTCACCACCCATTAGTTACACTCATATTTTATGTTTTTATTATGAATCATAGATGTTGATGTAGAGATCTCTAAAGCATGCTCTTACCTTAGCTGTGGCCCGCGCCTGGTACTCTGGGCAGCCATTCACTGTGATGGTTTCATGCATGTACTGGTAAACCTGAAATAAATGAAGAAAGAAAGGTGTTAAAGTTATGTTTCATGGAGCTCAAACACTTCATTTCCATAGTCGAATAATGGCGTTCCTTCACAGCTGGCTGTACTGACACGAGTGGAACAGAATGACTGATGGGAAACACAAGGCATTCAGGCACGGAAATGCACTACTCAAAATAATTCTGCTTACATTTACCTTACATGTGCAAACAGTATGTAAATCTCATTATTTTGAACTCAAAGTGGCACCACGCAAATCAGGGTTTTGTACAATTTCACTTACTCAACGTAACACACTCACACACAAATGTGAAGCGATCAGCAGGAAATTCAGGTAAGTGAGGAAAAAACCCTCAGAGGAAATATTTCAATTACTGTATTAAGCATATTTTTGAGTGCATTTGTAAGAGACTTGGGGATTATATAATGTTAGTCTTAACAAGCGGAATAGAGCTCTTTATTTGTGCAGTGTCCAGCAATAGTGAAACTCTGTAGGCACAATCTGATCCGTGTCTTAACACACAGCACAAAGAGTCTCCAGGCAGTAATACACTACTTTCGGACCTGAGCTGGTGCCAAGACATGGGTAGTTGTATGTCCAGTTGGGTAAAAAGCAAGGTTTTCGGAGGCAGACAGAATCATTTCAAACAGCCGACCTTTGACAGCTAACAACTGAGACGAATAAAGCTTTCTGTGGTTAATAGACTGTACCACTAAAGTACACTTTTCTGTTACGGCACATTAGAATGCTGTCTGTGTTGCAGTTCTGAACTCTCCGCTGCTGAAACCAAAAAATGAACAATGCAATGGTAGGATGGAGATGAAAGTGATTGAGAGCATGGGGCCGATTGCAAACAGGCCTCGGAGGAAACGCTTTTGCTTACTCATCGCAACTGACTCGATGAAACACATCAATTACTGCCAGGAACGCACAATTTCAGCAGATACGAGTGCGAACACATTAGAATTTACGGCAGTTCCGGATCATTTAGCAAATGAGCAATCAAAATCTAATCATGATAAAATTCTCAGTGTGAAAACAGCTCAAAATTCTCCTCTGTGACATACTGTATGTCGTGGTGCAAAATTGTAATCATCTGTTTGCACTCACTACATGATGTCTCTCATCAAAGCGTAGAAACGAACAAGCCCGGTGGCTTTGACGTGCCGAACAACACAACAAAGGCCCCGCTTCCCTGAATCAAAAGGATGTATGCTTATAGGATACACATCCTGATATATTTGTATGTAAGGTTCTCAGAGACTGGGAGAAAATATCCCTGGGCTTCTGTTGTCTTGTTTGCTCATGAATCTCAAAGACCATATGAAAGTGTGAGTCCCCCTTTCAAGCTGCAACACATTTTTGTAGATTTATAGTGCTGATGCATTCGGAGGGGGGTGGGGGGGGGGTAAGCAGCCTGCAGTTCACACACACTCTCACTCAGCTCCCAAATGATACATTTTCCTGAGGACTTCTTCCACCTTTTCACTTTTTGAGACAGAGCACAGCTTTAGAAATGCCATGAAAGGCTTTTCTTGCCTCAGTCTGCCTGCAAAGTGGCTTCCTTGTTCCCCAAGCTCCTCCACTTTCTTTCCCACTAATGCAACTACTAATGACCCCTTCTTATTCTACCCGCAAATATCTCTCATTGGTCATCTATCTGTTAAGTGTTGCAGATAAACAGTCTTCTCTCTGTGGGTGCATCAGCGATTGATTTAAAAGGTTATTTGCATTAGCGACTGAAGGCTTAATTCATGTCTAAAAAAAAGGTGCTTTTTCACCAGTGCATAACTTTGTACTCTTTTTCCTCATTTATTATAGAGAATATACGATATAGTTTGACATTGCAAAAGCATGCCTCGGCAAGTTGCATTCGTTACCCTGTCTGTCTAAAATATCATCATTTTCTCATACTATTCTATTAGACATAGGTGTCAAATTGCCTTAATTAAGGTATTATTTATTTAGTTATGGCCAAATATCTTTAATGTGAGGTCACAGTGACCTTGATCTTTCACCAGCAAAATGCTATCAAAGTTGACATTTGAACACAACTCCCTCAAGGCAGTTTTTGGTGGAACTAAGCAGAAGAATTCAAATGTATCAAGTAGCTCACATGTTAGCATACATTATCCACGGTAATAATCCAGCCAGCATACACAGAGCAACATTAGCATTCACTTGGTGTGGTATTGCTCTCCAAAATTCCTTCTCTTTCAACTTTGTTTCAGAGCTACAACAACTCCATTGGGTAAATTATTTTAATTCTTTAGCTGCTTTTATTAAAACTCAGCACAGATTACTGCTTCAACTGAAAACAAGAATGATCAGAGCAATCAGAAAACCAATTCTATGAGCTGAAAGATGCTAAATTGCATGGCAGAGATTACATATACTGAGTTATTGCAGCTTTAACATTCTCTTGTTAATTAAATTATAAATAACTGATGTAAGAAAGTGTTTTAAAGGAGGCTAAATAAGATGCACATTTAATATTGCTCTACATTTTGAACCTGAATGCAGTGCCCTGAATAACAGAACAAATGGCTGTGTGCTTTTGAATGTCAGTCTGCTTGTTGTGGCTGTCTTTACTCTAAAGAGGCCAGTTGTCCTGCAGGCATCTTTTCAATTACCCTCCTGCCTCTCCTTTTGCCAGACGTCTTCACTGCCCGTCCCTTAAAACACTGACCCCATCAGTGCCCCCTCTCCTTCATGTTTGTTATTGCCTGGTTCACCACAGCAGATTATGGATAAGCACACAAGCCTTCACTCAATATTCCGGACAGGATACCGGCACTGAGCGTCACCTAGGAGGATGGGAGGATGTCACAAAGACAGAGAATAGAGAGATGCCTGCGGGGCACACTGACGTGACAACGCTGCTGTAACCATGGCTTCCCTCTTCCTCTACTGAGTCACAGAGTGAGGGAGGAGGGAGGGGGAAGGGTAAAAGCTGACTTAGCTGGTTGTAAAAGGATAATAACCAGCAGAGGACTTAACAATACACTTTCCCTCTCTGTGCTGCTAACTATGACACGGTGCAAAATATTGAACTTCATGTCATTTTCATCCTTTAACTTAATGTGACGTGGGAGGCATTTAACACAAATCCTCCACACTCGCTAGTTTTGTAATAAAAACACATTATGCTGATTAAAAACTGTAATGAGAAAAATCAACTGCAGTGTTAAAACTGATGAAAGATGCTATTTCTATGGCCTGCGTTTTCAACTTCCTGTTTGTCAAGTCGCCCTCTCTAACTCCATGTACTACGAAATTCCCCCTCTCCATCATTTCCAGCTGGTTAGCCCTTCCAGTCATTTGTCTTGTGTCCTTCCTTTCCCATTTGCAAGGCTGATTGACCCTGACAACTCATTCAGGCTGATGCAGTGAGACTTACACCGCCCCCCACCTCCCCTACTCATTGATGAACATGGCAGGGGAAAAAAAGACAACGCCTCATCAAACTCTTTGTCATTTAGCCCAACACTGCTGAACACACTCTTTTCCCCGCTGTTCATTCTTCACATTGACAGCCGGCCTGACATCCTCAACAAGGCTGATTAATGTCGGTAAATTCTATTGGCAGAGACAGGATCAGGTTTGGAGGTGGGGTTTTGACTATATTTTGAGGATTAGTATGTTCATCTTGTCAGGCTGTGCCAACCATGTGTGTGAAGCAGGAAATGATATCACACAGTAGACAAAGCCCGGAGTTTGAAAGAAAGGTCATCTGTAATGAGGAAATGTCACAGAGGTGTGTGTGATTAGAATGCAGAAAACAGGAGGGTTGGCTTTCAGTTTAACCTATGTTTCATGGCTCTTTTAACTCCAGGGTAGTTAACACTGATGGATGACATCCAGGAAAGAAATTTGTGTGCAGTCAAAATGAATTAGAATATGATTATATAGCATTAGCTAACATAACAAGGCTGGAGGAGGAGAAGGAAAACTGTTACCATAACAAATTGAACCATTGTTTTTGCTTATTTTTTGTTACATATAGCATATAGTACTTGGGATGCATATGTATTCTCTTCCAGGTGACAACTGGATTCATACTAGTGTAATCATATAATAAAAATCACTTTCAAAGCCTCAACAAATGCTTGAGATTGTTAATCCAGCATAACGAACATTGTTTGTTGAAGTTACCTTATCATTTTGTGCAAATGTTTGTGTCACAAAGTAATGCATTTGTGTCCTGGTGTAAAGGTCCGACATCTAAGATACCAAAGAAAAAAAAACAGGCAACGTTTATGTGAAAATGTTCATCTGTTAAAGGTCCCATGTCATGGCCATTTCTACTGATCATAATTCCATTGTTGAGGTCTACTAAAATAGATTTAGCAATTTTCCAAACCCACATTGGTTTCTCATACAGCATCTCTGTATAGTATGTGTATTCACTCTCTGTCCTAAACGGCTTGTTGGAGCTCCTGCCCCCCCTCCCTATGAGCCCACTGTGCTCTGATTGGTCAGCTCGCCCACTCTGTTCTGATGAGTCCACCACCGTTACAGCGGAACATCAGTGATTATGTGTTACAATGGCGTTTGTGTGTGTGTGTGTTTGTGTTTGTTTGCCTGGCTGTGGGTCTGTGTGTGTGCTCGGACCGGGCCCAGGCCGGGCCTCGCCGTGTCCCTCTGTCTCAGGCTGAGGCTAGGGCTGCACTATTGGAAAAAACTGACATTGCGATTTTTTTCCCCCCTGCGATATATATTGCGATATGAAAACATACAGGAATTGAAGAAAATACCGTTATTTTTCCCACAAACCATCCTATCTTGAACTTTAATGCTATACAATTGGTATTTTTGTAACTATATTTAACCGGATGAAGGATTTTAGTCACGGACGTCTGGATCTTAAGTTATCAGATCAACAAGCTGGGCTAGCACGGTTAGCAGCGCCGAACTGCCCTGGAGAAACACATGAAACTACTTTATTCAGTATTTTTACCTTTAAGTTTGCTTTGGAGATTTGATTGTGGTTTGCTGTGCATGCTGAGCCTGCATGTCACTCACTCAAGTACCCCTGACATGAGAGCCGCGCAAGTTTTCCTTTTGTAGCAAGCAGCAAAATAATTGTAACATGACGTGTTTGAGTTAATCTGCCTACTTAATATCACCAGTCCAAAAAAAAAAAATGTAAATCTTTTTTTTTAATTTAAATCGCACGTCCACGCGATTATCGTCACGACACGATATATCGTGCAGCCCGCCAGGCCATAGACTGTATATATAAAGGTCCAGGCTGAGAAATCCGCGGAGCTGCAGCTGAGAAAAATAAGGCTGGCTGAGTGTGTGTGTGTGTGAGGAGCTCCGCGGATTGGTCCAAGAAAACAATGGAAAAAGAGAAATCTCCAACGAGGCGTTCTGGGGCAGCATAGGCACGTCTTTTCTGAGTTAGAGTTTTACTCGCTACAGGGTTTACTTTTAGGGTTTGTGACTTTGCAGACCGTTTACATGCATAAAAAGCTACATAACACACAAGGGGACGGGTAATAGCCAGAAAAGCATGACATGTGACCTTTAAGTAAAATGTATGAGGGTAATTGCTCCTCTGTCACAAACACATTCACATAGACTCATGCATATAAGGGCATTTAAACCATCCTGTTACTTTCTTCTGTAATTGTTTCTGGTAATACCCAGCTGTTGAGAACTGGGAGATTCCACCACAACAACTCATTCAATGCTCTGCGTAATAACAATAATAATCCATAGTACAATACAACATTTACAATGACCAGCACTTACAACCTGTCCCCCAGCTGGTTTAACACCGTGGAGAGAAGCTGTTTGTATCATCGCCTCTCTCAAACCTGTAATCGACTGTAAACCAGAGTCGACCTCTCTGCAGCTCACTTATCCCAGAGCATCTCTGATGGTTGCCCTGGTGACTGTGTTTAGTCAGCTCTTTGAGGGTGAAGTGGTCTGCATCTTTGCCTCTCTGACAAGGGCCTCTGCTACTGCTGCTGAAGTCTTTTTCAAAGGTTTTTGAGAATCATCTCACTCACTGGCTGGCACTGAGATCGCTCTGCTGGTTTCCAGACGGGCAGTTGGAGTCAGGATGTGCCAGCTTCCCTAGAGAGGGCCAAGAAGAGCTGCACCCTGAGAGAGAGAAGAAGACTCTCTGCCTTCCTGGAACTTTGCATGATGCCTGGGTTTTTGCGTTTTGCTCTGCCAGAGGCCAGTTCTCATAATCAGCATCATTAATTGTTGCCAACATTTGCAATATTGCATCAAGGCACCGACTGTAAACAAAGCTTATCATGAGTTTCTATAAGCTGGAAGAAATATAGAAATATAAATGTGTGTGTGTGTGTGTGTGTTAAAAAGCACATAGAACACACAGTGCCTTGTTTTAATAATGCAAATCTGGGGACCTCTGGACAATGCATTTGACGTAGATTATTATCTTCCCTTATTATGTGTCTGTTTTTATAATATCTGATCTATTTACCTACCAAGTTTAGACCGATAAGTTAAATATTTTGGGACAATTTAGTAGTTAGGGTTGGATTAGATCTTTGAATATGTGATTAGTGTAAGGTGTGTTTTAGCTTGTAAGGTTTCTGCACAACACATGAACTCTCTCAAATTCTAGATGTGTTAGTAATATAAATTGTATATTCTTTCTGTTTAGTGTCTGGGCCCCCTATTCAGACAGCACATTAAATATACAAGATCGGCTGTTATAAGTCTGTGTAGTGGTGTCATGTAGCGTTGTTTACTTAGTACGCCATACTCCTGATGAATGGGTCTAAGATGATGGATCAGTGGGTGGCCGTTTGCATGCATGCGAACGAAAGCATGCAAAGCAAAAGGGGGAAACTCCTGCTTGTTATTCACAATTGGTTCCATCACTATAATAAGTAATTATACCAAATCTCTAAAAGTGATTTGCTTAATTAAAATTCACAGTAACAAGCGCATCGAACATCCAAGTTAATGAAATGCTCATAATGTTCTCTGGCCTCATGGATATTAAAATGTTCAGTGTGAATTTTTCATGCAGTTAAAAATTAATTGCTGCTGTTGGAGTAATCATCTCACATTTTCATTATGCTGCAGCCCTTCTTTAGAAGTAGCCCAACAGTAAATTGAAGGTACAATCTCAAATGTTGTTGTTTTATTGCTTTATTTAATGTTCAGTTTGAAAGCAACTACCACGGAGCACATTTTGGCTTCAATTTGTACTAGAACAAAACAAAACATAGGTTAGGTTTGCGCAAGCTAATCGCTAAAGGTACAATACTAAATGCTAATTTTGCATCAATCTTAACACTAAATGTTCCACTTCATTCACTTGTGAAGTGGCAAATGTTACTATCATATAGTTTCACCACAACACAAATGTTAGTAAAATGAGAGTAAATTATGTGTAAAATATATCTAAATGCAAAGTATGCTAACGTGTGTTGGCTAGTGTCTAGATACTGTGCCTGCTGTACTCTAAATATGGTCAACTGTAATACAAACATCACCAAAAGCCTGCAGACATGTCCTTTAATCTTGGCGTAAAATATTCAATCAACACTTCACACTCCACATGAACATGGCATTAGGTCACCATGTTTTCAGATAACAACCTGATGTTATACTTTGTCATATCATTTATTTAAGAAAGTTGTACTTTTCCGGTTTGTTTGGATGAGACAGAAACATTACTACGGTCTTGACAACAAAAAATCCATGAATGAACAGGTGAAAGAGAAAGACCTTCATCAACAGAAGCTCCAAGGACGAAATGATTGAACGGAAGAATCAACAACAAAGAGTAGTAGCCCGAGAAAGGTCAACATAGAAAAAGCAGCAAAAATAAATAAAAAGTCTCACAGAAGGAAAGAAAGAAAAGACATCAGTCATGTTGCCGTTCACGGTACAGCGGTTCCCTTCTTTGACAGTGACTCACCTCTCTGATGGCCGTGCAGAACTCACTCTGAAGGACCTTCTTCAGAGATTGCAGCTTGTGACCCGGCACGTCCCCCGATTCCTGCAGCTTCTCCAGCAGCTCGATAGCCCTGGCAACATCTGGCGGAAAAGAGGGACAGGGAACGGGTGTGAGTTGAGAGTGAGCCAAAGGGAAAAATGCCCTGTTCAATTACTTTAACAGTACAGGCACGAGAAGGCAAATCAATGGGTGGGATAATGGAAATAGACTCAGTCAAGGCCAGCTGGGGCAGGAAAGATAGAACAGCAATCCAATCCATGGATTGTTTGCATTGGCTTAACTATATGCATGTGAATAAGGGAGGGAGGGAATAAGCCGGGCATTCAGTTAGAAGGTAACATATTCTGGTAAGAGTAGGTACCAGCTCTCACAAAATCACAAAGCCTTTATTTATTGAATGGTGCGGTGCTAAAATGTTATTTACATTAATGTAATTAAAGGTTCCCTATTATACTCTTTTTCATCAATAAATTATAGGTCTCAGATATATAAAAAACATGTCTCTGAGGTGTTTGGCTCGAAACACCAAACAGATCATTGCAGCATCCCATAATCCCCTCTGTTTCAGCCCTGTTTCCAAAGTGTTGATTCTCTGTCTGTTACTTTAGATGAAAAATAAGGAGCCCCTCCCCACGCCCCTCTGAGAGATATTT